AAAATAGATGAAACACAAAAAGCTCTGCTTCGAGAGTAAATTTCAAAGAAGAAATTTTGTGGGATAAAGTTTACACTGTGCGGTTTTCTATGAACTATTTTGGAACTGTTTAAGGCCGAAAGTGCCTATCAGGAAATCAAATGTCGAAATTGCGCACGTAGCGGTATCTGATGTTGCACTAGTTCATGCCTTATAGTGATATTAATATTAATAAGGTAGTGGCACCTACAATAAATGTTTCATTCTGAAAGGTATTGACTTTGCTTTCTGTGTTTGTACAAGTAGAAACTTACTGATTTTTATTGGCAAAACAAGAAACTGTAACATCTATTTTATTTGTTCAAGGCATCAAACATTAATCAAAAAATGTAATATTCATGAGTAATTATGTTTAATCACCATCAGTTTCTGCAGGTGACTGAAAATAATTTTTTTAAACTGTCGTCTTGACGGGCAAATAAAATATATTCGCCTTGGACTGCATGATGACCAATCATGCAGTTCATGGATATGCTCTTTTTGCAAACAAATTTCTGAAGTTGGCATTATTTTGCGGGACAAGAGGCATTAAATACAGTAAATATAAAGGCTTTTCAATGTTGTGGGCCTATTATTGATAAAGAAACAATCGGCTTTCATATATAATTGGCTGATTACCGAAATGCTGCCTAAGGCAATAATCAACGTAAGCATGCGACATTGGCCAAAATGACGAAACTGTAAATGTGCATTGATATCTAAATGTTTAGTTCATACTTTCCATGGGCACTTTATCAGTTACTATTAAAATAAGCGAGGATGCACTTTGAGAAGATGTGAGTGTTGGCTTACGGGAGTGTCCATTGTTTTCAACGGTGAAATTTTCAGGAGTGTTTGGAGAGTTACTTGAAATTTCAACCACGAAATCGTTTTTGGAGCCTAAGTAGGTGGCCGTGTTGGCGTCTAAATCGATTGGAGACTGAACCAATCCGGAACACATTGTGCGGATATTTTTGGCCCATTGGCTTAGGTTAGTGCTGTCGTCTGTGTAAGACCAGGGTGCACCTATTAATAAGACAACGATGGGAGATATGTTAGCCCAACTCAGAAGAATGGCTCAATGTGGGTCTGTTATAATGAGAAAACACGCAAGAGATGAGGAATGTTGAATTTGCGACTTCGACATGATCGGAAAACCTGCTATGTCGCTTTTTGCTTGATAATAGAAGTTACTTTTAAATTATGACGTATTCTGTGCGAAGCGTAGCGTATGGAGGATGTTAGCTGCAACAAACAGAATATGAGAAAAGGTTGCATTCTGCTTACTTTAAACCGTATATTTTGACCTACAATACATGTTTCATTGTAAACTTCATTGAGCTTTTGCAATGTGCATTCGAAAGAGACTGTTTTAAGCGAATAAATATATGAATGTTTTCATGAACAGAGACATAGCCATGAAAAATCATCACCGATCTGGCTTTGACTTGAAAATATGTATGTATATATAATGTCCTATATTTTGCCCTTAAAATCAAAATATTTATCTGCAGCCCATATTAAATTAACGGATTAGACCATCAATATATTAGACAGGGTAGCAAAGGTTAAGGTCGGTTCATGCTAAAGGGCGTAGGATCATATAGAACAACATGAGAGTCTTCAAATGCAGTACGTTTGCACTATGCATATATAAGCGAGTGAGATATGGTAGCATGATAGTCAATAAAACTATAATAGGAAATTTACAAAGATTGGCATGATAGCTAGTATTTGAAAGAGAG